TATATATATATAAATAAATAGCATATAGTTATAGCATATATATTATACAGTTGGACTGCAATTAGGAAGCCATGGTAACCTCAGCATCTATCGTGTTGTTCAGGGAGTCAGTGGTCTCTCTAAAGGACTATATAAGAACACCATGACCCAGGTTATCACTGATCGTCAGAAGAGACAGGAAGAGGATCCAGTGTATCGGAGGGCTCTGAAAGAGATCAGCCATAAACTGGAGCAGAGAGTAAAGGAGAGGAACATGGAGCAGCCAGCCAAACTTAAACAACATGAACAAGGTTAGGATTTGGCTTCGCAGTTTCGAGGCTGAGAAAATATATTTGTTTTATGTCTATTCCCAACAGGTTCATTATCATTAACTAAAACTAAAACCATTAAAAACATTTTTTGTTACTTAAATGATTATTGAATAAAACAAAATACTTCAAATTATTTTAATTCAGCTAGTTGCCAAGACAACATTTCTAATTGTTGCTTCGTTTAACTTGAATTTGAACTGAAGCTAAAACTGAAATAAAAATGAATAAAAGCAAATATCTAAAACATTTATTATTTAAAAAATGCAATGTTTCACCCAGTTTTTGTAAGTGCTTTGTATTTTTGTTGATATTTTGTTCCTCGCATGGATCACATGTTTCTGTGACATGAATGAGTTTCATTTCAGTCAGGATGCTGCCTTAGAAGGCTCATGCAGACAGTAGAGCTCATTTTTGTCTTATTGCAGTGATTCAGTCCAGACCCAGATCCAGCAGTTTTCCATCTACAGTAACTCGAGTGGTGTCGGGCCCTGCTCCTAAACAGCAGCACACCCCACAACCAACTCCACGCAGCAGAACCAGCACCCTGCCCAAGACCTCCACACCGCTACAGCATCACAGGTACAGCAACATTTACTGTGGTTTTATCTTCAGATAAATTACTTAAAAAATTTTAACAAAATTACAATAAAGAAAAAAAAAAATTTTAAATAGACTCTATTTATATCCTTATAATATATTAATTTTTTTAATTATTGTTTTTATTATCATTTAATTGTTTTTTGTTGACATAACCAAGGCTGGTAGGGCATATATTTATATATTTATTTATTTATTTTCAATCAACAGTATTAGTTTAGTGTCATTAATATACTGTTATACTATTTATAATATTTTTAATTTGATTTATTTTTATATTTTCTGTTTTCATTTTCATTTTAGTTAAAGTTTTAGCAATTTTGTTTTTTATTAGTTTTTTGTACACTTTTTTTCTCAATGTTTAATTAGTTTTTGTTCTTTTAAATGTGCCTATTTAGTTTTTAGTGATTTATATTTTTGTTTTAATTTTTATAATTTTAATCATTTTAATAATTTTAGTACTTCAACTTAAACTAAATAAAAATGTTGCCTAATGCTAGAAACTACATGAAATTAAACATATGAAATGAAACATGAAATGATTTTTTTTTTTTTTCAGTAAATGTTTATTTTAATCAGCATAATTGTTCATTATTTTTACTTTAAATTTGTATTTTAATTTTAAAACACTGACAATCAAGTTTCAATCAGAAATACGTCGCATTACAGACATGAAGTGTGCTCCGCAAAAGCAGTTTCCTGTTAACTTTATTTTGTTTGTTGTTCATCACTTTGGCTTAAATGATCACTGATTTTATTATGTTATCACTTTATCAGTTTTTGATATTTGGTTCAGTGCCCTTTTCTGGGTTGTATGAACATGTGCATATTGCATCTCACCTGCAGAACTCCTCCATTCAGCTCTGATGAAGAATCATCTGAGGAAGAGGAATCGTCTGAAGAAGAATCCCCTCAAACACAGAAGAAATCTGCCCTGGTCAACAGCACCACAGTCAAAGCCCAGACTGCTAAAACACAGCAGCGCTCGACCCCTCCCGCTCTTGCCGTGCGCTCCGCTGCTCCTGTGATCAGTGCGGACAGAACGGACGTTACGGCTCTGAGCGAGAGCGACAGCGAGTGGACCGACGGCAGCGAGATGCAGGAGCTCAACCTCTCAAAGCTGCACAAACACACTGACCAGAATGGAAACGTGGAGAAGATTACTCACAGTAAGACTCGCTTCTAATGTCAGGAGGGTGTGGAGTAGTTGTATTGCATTTGGAAATCAAAATTTTACACATTTGTTGTATATTTGTATTGTGTGTGTGTTTTTCTGTAGGTAAAGTCAAAGCTCTTGGCAAAAGCCTTGAAAAACAGCTGGAAGCACGAGGCCCAAAGAAACCAGCAGGGGGCGTTAATACATTGCTTGAAAAGCCAACAGCTGTCAAAACTATAAAGCAAGACGCAAAGAAAGAGCTAGAGGTGAGACCTGCTCCTTTAAACAGATAAACAATATGCAAAGGTAAATAAATGCGACATTGAAATCTACCACAACAGAGAACAGGTGGAAAATTTCAACATTTATTAAAGTACTTTGGCATTTAATTAAATTCTTATTGAGAAGCTGCATGCTAAGGAGTGATAAATAATAACATTTATTATTAATAAAAATTACAGTAAACACTTATTCACTCAGGTAATGTAGCTCATCAGCATAACTGTAGTAAATATTGTAGATTTAGACTACTGCTCAAAATTGTTTTTAAGAAATTAATATTTTCATTCAGCAAGGATGCATTAAATTGATCAAAAGTAGCAGTAAAGACATTTATAATATTATAAATGTTTTTTTTTTTTAATTCAGGTGTTTTTTTTTCCAGAAAAAATATAAAGTTTTCAAATTTAATAATAATAAGAAATGTTTCTTGAGCAGCAAGTATATTAGGATGATTTCTGAAGTATCATGTGATACTGAAGACTGGAGTAGTGGGTTATTATACTGTATATAGTTATTTTAAAACTATAAATCATAAAAATAAAAAAATGTGTTACTTTAAGTAAAATAAATGTTAACTGAAACAAAATAAAATATAAAAACTTAAAGTTACTATATTTCAGCTAGTTGAAAAGGCAACATTTCTCATTTCTATGTAGTTTAACATGTACAAAAGAACTAAAACTAAAACTGAAATCAAAATGAAATAAAAACTGTCAACTGATTGGATGAGCAGACTATAATTCCATAAAGATTTTTATTTTTGCATATCTTACTTCCTAAATTAGTTCGTTTTATCTCTATAGTAGATTTGTAATGGGTCGTTGTTCTGTCCTGTTGCTTTCAGTACACAGATGAAGATGATGACGATGATGACTGGGATATCTCCTCTCTGGAGGATGTGCCCGCTGTAACCAAACCCAGCCAATGTCCCGTACCCGTCAAGAAGAGCTTGGACAAGAGTCTGGACACCAGCACGAGTGTGTGGGGCTCATCGACGGGCAAAGGACAGAAGCCAAGTACATAGAATTCATAGTTAAATAATAATATTTTGCTAATGAGAAATCATGGCCATAAATGATTTACATCTTAGAAACTCCGATTGCTTGCAAAAAAGCTGCTGTGCTTTTTTCATTTAATCTGAAAAGTACATATTGTCCAAACCATTGTCATACAGATTTAGATATTTTCTTTTATAGTTTAAATAATTTAATTAATACGTTACTATTACTTTTTATATTTTAGTACAAAGACATTTGAAATTGTTTTGTGACCCCCACACTTATAAGCAGTAACTCTTTAGCTCAACACCTGTTGATAACTGTGATTCTGATTTCTTTCTTTGTGTTTTTCACATTTGAAATTGTTTTGTGACCCCCACACTTATAAGCAGTAACTGTTTAGCTCAACACCTGTTGATAACTGTGATTCTGATTTCTTTCTTTGTGTTTTTCAGGCCTCACAGATGCAGGAACCGGCAGCACTCTCAAGAGCAGTTTAGTGAGCGTCAGCGACTGGGATGATTCAGATGAGATATAATAAAATGCAGCAGAGCAATACCAAAGTTAATCAAGTTAATATACCTTATATCCAGTATCTGTTGTAGCTCAGGCTTAGTGATTATTCAGGGACAGCGGTGCAAAAACAGTTTAATATTAACAGTGTTAAAGGTACTTTATATGAAATATAAAGGTACAAGTACACCTAATACTAAGGAACAGCCAAGGGATGTTGCACTTTAAAATGATTGCCTCCTATTTTTTGATAGTTTATGTAACGTGTAAAATACTGATTTATTAAATTCACTTTTTCAAACACTTCAAAGATTCTTTGTTTTGGACATACAAGCATTTACATTTAATCATTAACAGACACTTTTATCCAAAGCGATTTACAAATGAGGACAATAGAAGCAATCAAACCAACAAAACAGCAACAATATGTAAGTTCTGTGACAAGCATCCTGCTATATCGCAATAGATAGAGACAACAAGCATTGAAATTGTTTCTAAATTATGTCTTTAAACGTTGGGTTACACGGTTGAGTCTATGAGGGGCCTGACAGTTCTTTGAAACTGGCTTTCTTGTGTTCCTCTCCTCCCTCTACTCTCTCTATTTTCTCTGTTCACTCTGTATGATTGGTGTGAAGGAGGGATGATGAATGTTGTGGGTCTGGACGAGCCCGGCAGCATGTACGTCTGTCTAGTTCGTGCTGTCATGTAAGTTGGGGGTCTTCTGGGTTTCTTGGTAAAGCTGAAGAAATGCAAAAAATATTGAAAACACACAGTACACTACCATTCAAAAGTTTTTTAAAGGAGACATATTATGCCCCTTTTTACAATATGTAATATAAGTCTCTGGTGTCCCCAGAATGTGTCTGTGAAGTTTCAGCTCAAAATACTCCACAGATCATTTATTATATAATTTTGAAAATGCCTATTTTGAGTAGAAGCAGAAACACGCTGTTTTTCGTGCCTTTCTCTTTAAATGCAAATGAGCTGCTGCTCCCCACCCCCTTTTCCAGAATAGAGCTACACCACTACAGCTCGGACCTGCTAAAACATCTGTTTAGTGTTTAGGTTCTGATTATCATGTTTATCGCGCTGAAATCATGCGTTTTAAACCATATTAGTTTAAACTTATGATGTAAGGTTTTCTGAGCGCACGCATCCGAAGCACACGGACAGAAAGCAGCTGTCACAGCATGTGAGTACTAAACTAAGTTCTCATTCACACACAAGTTTACGTTAAAAACACACATGAGCTACAAAAACAGTCGGTTATGTCTGTGAAGGTAAACAGCCTGGAAATAAATCACATGTTTATTTTAGATCTGTGTGGCAGGAGCAATATACAATAAATCAATAAATCCACTGCTCTCTTGTCTCCTCTGAGGCTGGGACTCTAAATAGTGTTCTGTGCTCGTCTGTGCAGCCAAAGACAGAACAGTTGGCATGTTTTGCTCAAACTTTCGCCATGAAACTTACAGATTAAGGGGCAGTAATATTATAATGAGATCCCTTTGCAACGTCACTAAGGGAGTGAAATCAGACACGCTCGTTTTTTCAGAGGCTTGCAGAAAAAGGCTTACCAAAACAAAGTTACTGGCTTATATAGTAGTAAGCAGCTAGTAAGCAGCTGTTCAATATTGATAGTAATACAGTGCGATGGGCCAGACCTTCGTGGGAATGACATTCTTGCAGAGAAATACCACATGACTGCACTTCCACATATAACCAGACACGAACCTCCCCAACCGATGAAGAGAGCTGCACCGAGCTCAACCTGAGGAAAATGAAAACCTTAAGGGTAAGGTTTCTAAGATTTTTATGTCAAAATACATTCTTATCTCCCCCTAAAAATGTAAAGTCTCCCAGGCAATATCAAAACATTTAGAGCGGTCTGTTCTGGTAAGTCAATCTCTTCCAGCTCAACCAAAAGCGAGGGTTCAGGGTGTGGCTACTGTAGCCGATCTTCAAGCCCAGCCCCCGGAGCTCCCAGTAATGAGGGCTCCTAAAACGCATGTGCCAATCATGAGACCCACCAGGCTGGGGTCTACATACAAGACCTTCTCCACTAATGTAGGGGATTAGGTAAATTAAGCAGACAAAATCCATGTCTGAAGAGCATGGATGTCCAAGTTATAAAATCTGGCAAAGGTATATGGGGAAGACCAGCTGGCTGCCGCACAGATATTACCAATTTGAAAGTCCGTTGGACCTAGCCCAGGAGGAGGCCATTCCTCTGGTGGAGTGTGCCCTCACGTGAACTGCCCTCAGTGAGAGCAGGTTGTACTGTGCCATAGGAGTAGGCGTCTCACCATCCTGTAAAGGGAGCATGACCTGACACTGCCTTGGTGATTTATAAAGGCTACCACGTCATGTTATCCGAGTGGACCAGGACTTGGTGCCCTCTTAAGGCTGGCAGGAAGGTTTTTAGGGCTAGAAAAACCACCATCATCAAGCACCAAGCGTAGAATGGTTCACAGGCTTTGAGCCAGAATTGGAACGACCAATTGTGAGTGTTCCAGCGCGACTTAGGCCCACATCTGGGACGAAACAATAAAAGGCAGAATACCTGCTGGCTGGGAGACACAAGGCTTTTGGCTAAAATGATTTGTGATCGCCGCAGTAGAAAAGGCGCTGAAGAGTAGCATCTTCCCGCCTGCCGGGGCTCTTCTACGGCGAGTAGCAAGCTTCGAGCTCCTTGCTTTAGAGTCCAGTGAGGGGATGATCTTCATGCTGAAGAAAAAAATTCTGTCGAATGGCGCTCAGAGCCGATCGTTTTGGCGGGCTGAAGCGCCATATTTGTTCGTGCAGCTACACGAACGTGAACAAATCAGGCTTCAGAGTAAATAGGAGTTTCTCCATAAGCGTTCTTGCCGTTCAACGCAACGGGAGAGACCATAGGGAAAACGTTATGGGAAAAGAAACTCGGCTACAGAAGTGAAAACCAAAACTGGACTTACCAAAATGAGACAGGCAACTGGGGAAAACAAGGGTAAACACTGGCAGTGCTTTTACAAGATGGAGGAATTTTAAGAAATGTTTGAGTTTCAGTTGAGACAACAAACTCATGAAGTTTCTTCATAACAGGTAAGCTAAACTTGCTACATGTTTTTAGCTGTTTACTGTCAAGCCCCAGATAAAAAGGTAGATATTGTATGGGTAATAATAATCGTAAGGGCATAAGGGGCGTATTTTTTATTTTTTTTGTAATTCCTCTAGGTGACACTAGCGCAGAAACGGCATACCTCACCTTTAAGCACTTTTATATATTATTATTACTGAATTAATTATAAATGTGTGACTATTTTAAAATACATTACATACTTCTGTTCCAAGTAATATGGATCCACAAAGTCTGAACGCATTTTATTTCCCCACCAGGAGTACACTATCATACCACAGAAACCTGCAAAACAGATACAGCAACACATCGGTTTATGATACTCAATTTATGCTTTATGCAAAAATGCTCATGAAGAAAGAATTGTACTGGATGCCATGTATGTCAGTGCTGCTGCGAATGTAACTCTGGCATTGGCAAGCTCAGAGCCTCCGATTTTGGTACATTTCATCCCAATGAGGGCAAGAACAGCCCCCCAGAAGCCAAAGATCACAGAGACGACAGCCAGGGCCCGGCATACATGGAGGAAAACTAACAACCAGAGAGACGCATGAAAAGCATCTCATATAGAAGCCCATTTCCGCCAAAGAAATCAAATTTAAAAAGTGACTTTTCTTTGTTTCCGCCACTGGATTAAAAAAACATTTAAAAGTGAATTATGATTGTATCTCACAATTCAGAGGACTATTTTCTAAAAATAGTATTTTTTTTACTTTTTCTAAAATATTTCAAAATCTTTCAAAAATTCTGCCGCCCCCTCAAAATTCTAAGTGTATATCTTGTAATTCTGAAGAATTGTGAGAAAAAAGTCTGAATGCTGAGATAAAAAGTCACAATTTACTTAAAAAAAAAATGTTTTTATCTTGTGGCAGGAACAAACTTCCATAATCTCCTGAATGAGAAACCTCAGTATATAAATAATAAAATAAATAGTATATGCATCACCTAGGTTGCATATGTTTGATCAAAAACAGTAAAACATTATTATTGTGAAATATTATTCCAAATTAATATAACGTTTCTATTTTTATATATTTTAAAATGTTATTGAAATTCTATTTTAATATGTAATTTATTCCTTTGATGGCAAAGATGAACTTTCAGGATTTGAAACGGCTGTGCTGCTTAATATTTTTGTGGAAAACGTGATACTTTTTTCAGAATTCTTTGAATCGAAAGATCAATAGAACAGCATTTATTTGAAATAGAAATCTTTTGTAACAATATGAATTTCTTTACTGTCACAATAAAAAATATCTTACTGTCCCCATACTTTTGAACAGTAGTGTGTATATCTATAGTGAAGTTTTAATTTTTAAATAAAAGCATCATTTTAGATTTGGAAATACGATATTCAAAACAAAAACAAGCATAAAAAAACAAAAATAAAGTTTTACTAAAAATGTATTTGGCCTCACTGAACATATTTATCGAATAATGTATTCTTTTTCTCATAAGAACCATGAGCCTTTCATTTAAAAAAATTTTTTTCACCAAATCATGACACATTGTCTCAGTTTCAACAGTGATTCCTTACCAGACAGGTCCATCATGGAGGGGAAGTATTTACAGTCAGATACTCCTGTGGTGTCTGAGACACAGTCCATCCAGACAGATCTCCACATACATCACCACTGTTCGCTGCCTCATGCTGCCAGCTGCATACGACTGATGAACGGAAGAGAAGTGGAAAGACCTTTGGAAAGAGAGTTCCTGAACTGCTGTGAAGTTTCAAGCCAACATGGAATAAAATGACATGGTGGTGTGTGTCCTTGGAGGACAGCTTTCTCTTGTTTTGGTATCTGCATCCACAGTGCATGCTTTCTTCGGCATATTGCAGCTTCAAACTGGTAAAACACCTCATAAGCAGTTTCACATTCCATGAGGTCTGTCCGATCTCTGAATCTGACAACCAGGTGTCACCAGGTCATTGACCAACTAAAAGTGTATTCAATAGGTTATGAATCAAAATGAAACAATATATGAAAAAGATGGGAAGTTATCACCTATTATATCATCTTCCAGGGCAGAAATCTTAAGGCTGATAGTTCAGAAAAGTAAAAGATTTAAGGTTTCATTCATGGCCACAGAAAAATAGTACAGAACTAAATAGTGCAGGACCTGTTTATTGTCTTTGAAAGAACATTGACTGGCTATTAGATATAATATTATCATATGGTGAAGTATGTTCGGTAACACTTTATTTCAATAGTCCACTTTAGACATTCTATTAACAGTAAGTAACTTTGCAACTACATGTCAACTAGCAGTTAGTAGAGTATTAGTAGACTGTCTGCTTAATGTCTTCTAACACTTTCTTTGTCAACATTCTACTAACCCTAAACCTACCCTAACAGTCTACTCTGAGAGTTAGTAGACATGTAGTTGCAAATTAATGAGAATTAGTTGACATGTAGTTGACATGTAGTTACAAAGTTACTTATAGTTAATAGAATGTCTAAAGTGGACGATCGAAATAAAGTGTAACCGTATGTTCTTCTTAAATCGGATATTTATCCTCTTTGCAGGCTCATATGTCATGTAAGGTGTAAGCTATACGTGATGATTGCTGTAGAGCGGCACGAACAGTGAAACTCATATTGTTTATGTATATAAAGGAAATACTTGCAAAATGGAGACAAAGCCAGTGAAACTGCACGATTCAAGTGTTATTTTAGTTTTATTTATAGTTTTGATATTTTGAAATAGAATTTTGTATTTTATTTATATTTTTCAGTTATATTTGTGTAATGAGTTGTTGTCATTTTATTAGATTTTGTTCTTTTTTTTGTAATTACTATTTAGGTTTAATTTATTTTTATTTCAGTTTTAGTTTTTATTTATTTCCAGTTAATAATTTTTGTATTTATTTGGTCACCAAGGCAACATTTCTATTTTTCGTTTACTTTTTCATCTAATAAGTATATTTTATTTTATCTCAGCTTAACTTCAATTAACAAAAATGTTTTAATAGTTTTAGTTTTAGTTAACAATAATAACCCTGTTATTCAAATTAGAAAATGGACAGCAGTTGCCAAGAATCTTGTCACTATGGCTCTATTGATAATGATAAGACTCCTAGACCTCTCTATACTCGCATTGCACAGACAAATAGAAGAAATTAAAGTTGAGTTAACGTAGTTAGACTTTTACAACATAAAAGTTTTAAATCCTTCAGGTCAGTGATTCACAACTCTGGTAGTTCCAGGGTTGAAAAGTTTTTCATTTTGTTTTGTTAAACATATAAAATAAGTTATTACTTAATTTAATTTAATTTATAATTAATATTCTGTTTGGTCTCAAAAAAGTTAGAAAGTAGAGAAAGTTAGAAAAGTTTGTTTTCTTAAAAAGTATGATTTTTTTTTTTACATATTAGCATGTGTTTCAAAAACATTTTAAAATAACCTAAGCAACCACAAAAGTTTAGCTACAAGTTGCAGATGGAACATCGACAAAAAAATAATGTTATTATCAGGTTCAAACAAACTCACAATCCACACAAAAATGTATTGCTATGTTTAAAATGTCTTTAAGACGTCTTAAAATGTTTTATTGTCATCTTGCATTGTTTTATTACATCGGTTCCACTGAACATAAAATTAAATTGTGAAGAAAAATATATCTGACAAAGCACAAACTGTTGTTCCACATTTCAGCAGTTACGCTCAGTGTTGGGGGTAATATATTACAAGTAACGCGAGTTACGTAATCAGATTACTTTTTTCAAGTAACTAGTAAAGTAACGCATTACTTTTTAATTTACAAGAGAATATCTGAGTTACTTTTTCAAATAAGTAACGCAAGTTACTTTTTTTTTTTCAATTTATTGATTGACAGCTCTCCTGTCCACATGTTGAGAGAAATCAGATGTTACTGTAGTTCAAAAAGTGGCGATTACATCCATGCAGTCGGGAAAATCTCCAGGCCCTGATGGCTTTACTGTTGAATTTTATAAGGCTTTCGCTCCCAATTTAAAGTTCCTAGATTAGTAAAACTTTATAATGATTCCTTTAAAGCGGGTCACCTTCCCCCTACACTATCCGAGGCTTCTATTTCTTTGCTCCTTAAGAAGGATAAGGATCCCACCTCATGCAGTAGTTATAGACCAATATCATTGTTGAACGTAGATTTCAAAATTCTGGCCAAAGTTCTATGTCTCCGCCTTGAACGTGTTCTACCCACTTTAATTGTTCATGATCAGACAGGCTTCACCCCAGGGAGACACTCTTTTTTTAATACCCAGAGGCTTCTCAACATTCTCTTTTCTCCTCCATCTGACTCACCTGAAATTATTGTGTCCCTAGATGCCGAGAAGGCCTTCGATAGGGTGGAATGGGGTTATTTGTTTTTCATTCTGGAAAAGTTTGGGTTTGATTCTAGCTTTATCTCTTGGATTAGACTTCTTTATTCTTCCCCTATAGCTTCTGTACACACTAATGGTATGCAGTCACCTTCTTTTTCTCTTCAACGTGGGACACGACACGGCTGTCCCCTGTCTCCCTTACTTTTTAATCTAGCTATAGAACCTTTAGCTATCTGGCTTCGTAGCCACAATGGCTTTGAGGGAATTAAACGTCATGGATTAGCTCACAAACTTTCTCTATATGCCGATGACCTTTTATTATTTATTTCAAACCCCGCTACCTCTCTGCCCCCAATCTTGGATATTTTAGACACATTTAGCCGAATATCTGGCTACAAGATAAATTTGCAAAAAAGTGAACTAAAAAGTAACTAAGTAACGTAATTAGTTACTTTTTTATGGAGTAACGCAATATTGTAATGCATTACTTTTAAAAGTAACTTTCCCCAACACTGGTTACGCTCTTTATATCTAACATGCAATCTACTTTTCTCAAATAATGAATCCATCAATAAATAATCATTAGTAATTTACATTTTTGCACAAATTGATCACAGAATCTCGTTTAACAATTTTCAGTTCATTTTACAAAAATCCATGCATTTGATTTGGAGAGTTCCTTGAGATTTGTAGTAACACTGTCCAGTTGTCCACTAGGGGTGTTTTGTTACGAGCTAATGAAAGAGCGACACTGAACATCTTAGTTTTGTTTAACAAGTCATTTCCAGATCCATTGTGTTTTTTCATAACCAGGTCCAATAATCCAAGCTCAGTGTTTCAGAGGTAGGAGTTCTTGATGAAGTCATGTGTAGTGCCTCCAGATGGAGAGGACACTTTCTTGTTGTTTAAATGTGATCTGCTGATCCTTGAGGACTGTGAGGAGCTCACTGATCGTGATACGTCTGATTTGATAGAGCCTCTTGATTTATCAGAGCGTCTGGATCTTGAGGGACGTCCAGTTCTTGAGATACGTGTGCTCTTCGATGGCACATTTGACAGAGATGATGTTTCAGACTTCGAGGAGAGCTCAGATATGGCTGATCCGTTGGATTTTGTGGAGAGTTCAGATATGATGGAAATATTTGTGTGAGAGGAACGCAAGGCATTGCTCTCCACAACAGGAACGCTGAGAACTGGTGCACTGAGGACAAACATTTTAGGAAGTACA